GGGTCTGTGGACGAGGGGTCTACCTCTGCAGCGAGCCTTCTGTCCAGCCGTGCTGAGCACCCCAGCTCCAGGGCCCGTGGTTTTGGGGGTTGCTTTGGCTTCCTCAACTCAGCCACCTCCCTGAACCCCTGGGCCCCCAGGTGCACTTCTGGGGACCAGGGCCTCCTGTCCCTGCCCCAAGGACAAGAGTCTCTCAACGCAAGAGCCCCTCCTGGGTTCTGACCTGGTGCGCGGTCAAGCTCTTGTCCCTTAGGTCTCAGTCTAGAACATTCCACTAATTTTGTTTTCTTTGGGGCCAGTGACAGTTTTAGGCAGTATAGGACAGTGGTCTCCAGAGGGTCCCACACTCTGGTTGGAGGGGGTCGGAGGGGGTCAGATGGTCGAGGAAGTGTCCCCTCCACTTCCTGGAAGGCACAGGGTGCTAAGCTGCCTGCAGGGGGTACCTGGACCCACAGGGGCTGCCACCAGGTGCCTCCGTTCTTGAGGCACACACTCGACCCACCTAGTCAGGCGGGTGGCTCCTGAAGTCTGATGGGCTGGCCTGCGTCACCTCCTTCCAGGTGGCTGCCACGTTGGACCGTGTTCCGCCTGAAGCTCCCTCTGGGTCCCCGGGGTGCCTGGCCTCCGCCTCCCCTGCCCTGCTGGCCACCCCGCACCTGTCTGGCTCAGCTGGCCGCCTCCCCACGTGCCGGTTCTGCACCGCGCCGAGCACTGGGTCTTCTGACAGCGGGTTCTTCAGGGCCACCCTTGAGCTGGGCCCCTGGCCTTCTCCTGGGCCCACTCAGGCACCTCCTCCTAGAAACAGCTTTGCAAAGGGCCTTCCAGGCAGGTGGCGAGACCCCCTTCCCCTGAGCACCCCCAGCTGGTGCGGCTGCTGCTCCTCCTGCCCCAGGTGGCTCCGCCTGCTCACCTGGGCCCTCAGCTTGGCCAGAGGTGTCCCCCCCGAAAACCCTGCCTTGGGGTCTCTGGGTGAAGCCTTCCAAAGGGGCTGTGAGCAGTGTCACCCAAGTTCTGGAGCACCTCCTGGGACCCAGGGCGTCTCAGCTGCGGCTCCCCCAAGGCTTCCCGCGGGCATCTTCTTCACTCCTCTGTACTCCTTGTTGTCTTTCGTTAGGTTTACTCTTGTTGTCTGCGGGGACTAGCCTCTTAGACACCGAAAGGGTTCAGCCGTCCATCTCCCGCCCACAGGAGCGTCTCTAGGCTCCCTTCCACCCTGACCATGCAGCTCCTTGTCAATATCATGCTGTTGTGGAAAATGATGCTTCTTTTTCTTCTTTACCAGATCTTTTTTTTTTTTTTTTAGTTTTTGGCGGACACAACATCTTTGTTGGTATGTGGTGCTGAGGATCGAACCCGGGCCGCACGCATGCCAGGCGAGTGCGCTACCGCTTGAGCCAGCACCTTACCAGATCTTTTTGAAAAACCCTCCCTTGGCTTGTCTCAAGCTTGGGCGGGATCGCCAGGCCTGCATCCAGGAGCTGGGACCGCCTGCCTGCCTCACTCTCGCTGACCAGGGGACTTCTAGGCCCTGCTCAGAGGACCAGGCTCACCGAGGGGCTGGACTCCACTTCCATGTGGCCTGCCTGAGAATTTTCTTCATGGATGCGGGTGTTTTAATCTCCGTTTAAACTCGTTTGTGGTGCAGGGGCAGAACAGGGCCATGTGCCCGGAGGCCTCGGCTTCTGCCTCCACACCAGCCCTCGATTTTCACCTGGTTTTGCAGCCTGGAAACTCGACGTGTTGTGCACGCGGTGGCTACAGTGTCCGGGTTCAGAGTTTTGAAAGCCCATGTGCTTTCCGGGAAGCGACTGGCCTTGAGTTTGCTGTCTGGAGAACAAATCAGCTTCCCGGAGCTCCCCCTGGATCCCACCCATCCTGAGCTCCCGTCTTTCTGGGGACTGCCCCTGGGTGGCTGTCCCGTCTTTTCCTCCAGACCGTGGCTCTGCTCTCTGTCACCGGCTGGCTCTTTCCTGATGCCCATGTCTCCTCCCCGTCCTTGTCACCGTGTCGAGTGCTGGGCCCCCGACCCGTCCTCCCCAGGACCACTTTTGCCTTGGTGGCTCTCCCCCACTGACACTCAATCTCCCTTCATCCGTCTTCTCAGGTTCTTGTCACCGCTCTGGTTCCTGGTTTAGCTTTTTGTTCATTCACTCATTTCTGGAGTCAGACGTGTCCCTGGTAAACACTGGTGGCCTTCCCTGTCCTGAGGCAAGCTCTGTGGCCTGGGCGCCGGCCGCCATCATCACTGGGCCTGGGTGGCTCCCGCCCTCCGCTGCGTGGCCCCTGGACACACAGCTTCCAGAGTGGACTTTTGCATTTCCCACATAGGCTGAGCGTGGCCTCCTCTTGGCCTGGCTCCTGCAGAGGGGGCAGCGGGCGGGACGTGCGGACGTGCGTGCTGTTTGGACTTGGAGTTCACTGCGGGTCCCAGTCTGAGGTCAGCCTCTGTCAGCACTCTGGCCTGCAGGAGCCGCGCTCCGCCCAGTCCACCTGTCAGCGGGTTGTTCTGTTCCGATCCACACGTCCCCTGCCTGCCTCAGGCTCACGAAGTTCTGCATCTGAAGCCCAGCCAGCTCCCAGTGCAGGGCCTCCTCCTGGGGTGGGGGCCACCCGACCCCCCACAGCTGCCTTCACCAGGAGGCACGGAGGCGCGGCTGGACGAGCGGGTGGCGGCGCCGTCACTCTTGTGTCAGGATTCCCTTCTTTGCGTCGTTGAAGAGTGTCCTGGTCCCTCTTAGCTCGCGTAAACCCACTGTGTGGAGGCCGTCTGGGGGCAGGGCTGGGTGGGCCAGGGCCTGGGTGGTGCTTGAGGACATGCCACGTGGAGGGGGCTGTGCCACGAGGGCTTGTGGTGCCGTCATGCTGGGCCGGGCGCTCGCGGGCCCTTGTGCTGGTGGCGTGTCGAGGTGTTGACAGCGGTTCTCTGCTCGACCACACCCTGCCGGGCCCCTGGCCTTCCCTGGGTGCCCTGTGCACCTCCCACCACCAGCTCCATTCAGCAGAGAGCCGGGCCAGGCTGCTGGAGGACCCACCTCCCAGACCACCCCACCTCTGGGGGCTGCTGCTCCCGCCCCAGGGACCCTGCCTGCTCACACAGGCCCCGAGCTTGAGCTCATGTGTCCCACTGCAGGGCCCTGCCATGGGGTCCCCATGGCTCTGACGCTGCTGCTGGGCGAGGCTTCCACAGCATCTCTGCAAACATTTCTTCAGTGTGTGCACACACAGGGCTGCGTCTGTGTGTGTGTGTGTGTGTGTGTGTGTGTAGGTGCACACAGAGGGGGCCATGTTGCTCTGTGTGTGTGTGTGTGTGTGTGTGT